CTGGCGTTTGGTTCAATTGTCTTTCGGCGTCTAGCGCAAACTACTCTGAACCAACATAGTTGCAGGGTACGACTTCCCATAAGTGGAGTTTTTTTAATGTCGCCAAATCAAGAGGCGATTTGTGCATTAGAAAGCGCAAGATATCTGCTTTGATTGAGTAGTTTATGAGCGTTCTAATGCGTTTTTGTTCATGAGATATTTTGCGCAAAAAGTGCCGTATCAAATTCGTCCAAACTTTGACCCATCACACTATCGTCAAAACTCATTTTCATTTAGCACGAACAGCACATATCCTCACGCTATTCCAAGCCATTCCAACAAGTTGCAGCAGCACTGCCGACCACCCACGGAGCCCCCATGGCAGAAAGGCGGAAAATCCCACCTCAACCACGAGGAGGTCGCGCCATCTTCGAGTGCCTGCTTTCCGTATCGTCCTCTGGCACACTGCCTCGTGGTGACATCGTGCGGCTTGCCAAGCAGTTTATCTGACAATCGGACACTGTGTCGCGTGTTTGGGCCCAGACAGTGTTCGGTCCGAGTGGGACACATTTGTGCTGATGTCTCATCGAAAATCCGTGGTATGCCTCTAAGTATGTTTGAATTTATTGATTTCGAATAACATTGTTTTCTTAAGGTGTACTATTAAGGTAACTCTGGACAAAAAACCTCGAATGGAGAAATTGAAGTTGCGATTCAGCAAGTGCCCCAAGCGTCGCGATTGGCGCTGAGAGTTATGTCTCATGCGTGCGACATCCTCAAGACTACGATCGTACGACATATGAAGGAATGCGCTAGGCTCAATGCCCTCTCCTCAAGCTATGTAAAGCCCTTTTTGACCCCAAGCAACATCGCAACAGTGCAATTTTTCTCCTACATCCCTCATCGAATGGAAGTCATTTTTTTGGCAATATGCGTTGTTATGTGCATATCAACGAAAAATGGTTCTATTTGACAAAGGTGAAATGGATGTTTTTCGTGTACGAGGATGAGACCATAGCTGCTCGTTTTGCTAAGTCCAAACGATTTATACCAAAAGTTATGCTTTTGGCGGCCGCTGCCCGCTCCCATGTTGACTTCAACGGCAACCTTTTCGACGGCAAACTTGGAGTTTGGCCATTTGTCGAAAAGGTGCCAGCACAACGCAACTCCGAGAATCGTACCAAAGGCACATTAGTGATACTCCGCAGCCTGTCGACTCTGATGTCTATTTAGAAATGGTGTTGAATAATGTTGTGCCAGCCATCACGTCGAAGTTCCCGCGATATTCACTGCGATAGGGTGTCGTAATCCAACAAGACAAAGTCAACCCCCATAAGTTCCTCACGACATGTTTGCTGGAGTCGTGCGGCGTATCCAGAATCGCAGTAAACAACCAGCCGCCCAACAGGCCAGACCTCAATGTCTTAGACTTAAGATACTTTAACTCTATTCAATGTCTGCAGTATCAGAAGTGCACTCGAACAATCGAGGATCTCAATGATGCTGTAGTAACCTTGTTTTATGAAATTACCTGTGGACACGGTGTCAAAAATCTTCACTCTTCAAAAAGTGATGAAGAAATGCATAAAAACACACGGTGGCAATGACTCTTAGCTCTCGCACATGGAGAAGGATGCGATGATAACTGACTTCGTGACCTTCAACGTGGAATGCGATGCCTATAACTACGAGATTCCCTTGATCCATTTGAACTTGCGACTTGGAGAAGAGGCATCCATGGAAGCACTTCCGAATTTCCAAGAACAAGGTCATTTTTTAAATTAAAATTCAGTATATTTTTGGCCTCACTTCTTCGTTTTAGAGTGACATACAACACTAACTTGTCTCTGATGCGGGTCCCATGACTTAATCAAGTCAAAACGAAGGCAGCAACTATTTTGGACCAGAGTAGTATTTGAAACTGCGCTGTCGATTTTGGGTCGTTATACGGATAAGGACTTAATCATCCGGAATCCGACATCCACGTAACGTTTTTATATGAAACACAGTATCCAACGTTCAAACGTGTCCGGTGATTTCCAGAATTTTGGTGGAAAATCCTGCCATTAAGCTCCAAATTGATTTCACGAAAGCTGATTGGAGTATGCGCTGTAAAATATATCAGGGTGCAGAAACCGTATATTTTGCCCAAAAATACAAATTCCAAATGAACTTGTAAGCATCACGCCAACTGATCCGAACACGTCAAAAATTGCAGGGACAACCAAAATTCGTTGAACTTACACAGGCCGATGCAAATACAATTTCTCTATCAAGTTTCCCCTTCCATACGTAATGCAATAGTCTTCCAGCGTTCTCAAATTTTATTGGCTCCCGCGTAATTGCTTTCCCTCCAAAATTCCTCCAGGACACAGGTCACTGAACACAACACATCACAACGCAATTTACTACCAGCAACCCACCACCAAACACCAACCAAGCAACCAAAATGGTCTTCAATCCCGTCGCTATGCTCGCAAGCCTTCAGGAGCAGTCCGTTAGAGACCAAATCTTCCTGGATGAGTGCCTCCAAAGGCATAGCGAGGCCGTTGACGAGCGCATCGACGACCAGAACTCATTGCAGCCCATCATCGACAAGGTCTTGGACACTGCTGGCATAGATGGATTTAAAGTAATGACGAACTTCACACCCCACCGAGGTCGACATTCTTTGGGACATCGTTGAGCTGTCGATGAAGACAAATTGGACGGAAGGTCGCGGCGCCAAAACTTTGACGAAACCAAGGGACGCCTTGTACATGGCCTTGACTGTTCTCAAACACTACCAGTCGTGGGAAAAACATGCAGTTGAATTTGGATACAAGGCTCCTACCTTCCAAAAGCTCATGGTCCGCACCTTCGACACCATTCAACCAGTTCTTTTCGACCGCTTTGTTCGTCTTCCAACAATCACTGACCTGCTTACCCGACGAACTACGTTCAAGAACTTCCCGTACGCACACTATGCGACCGACGTGAAGTTTCAGCCGTGCGAGCGTCCTGGCGGCCGGTTCAACGAGCGCAAGGCTTGGTTCAGTGGCAAACACAAGCTCTACGGGATGAAACTTGAGGCGTCAGTGTCCCCTCAGGGATTTTGCGTTGATATGAGTTCAGCTCACCTTGGCGCGACTCACGACGTTGCGATTCTTCTCTCGCGCTTGAACGTCCACCTGAAGGCCCTGACAAAGACAAGCAGCGAGGTCAATGAAATTGACAACGGCGAGCACAACATCACGTACCCTGACTTGCGGGTAATGCTTGTCGAAATGGGCTACTGCGGTATCCTTGACCACCTGCGAAGGTTCATCCGAAGAGAAGACCTGTGGGCGGATACCTTGATGCTGATGACTAAGCAAGGAACCGTCGTGTATCCGCTGACCGTGTCCTTGTGGAAAACTTCTTCGGTCGGGTGTGCTTGTTGTGGAAGATATCCTGCACTACGTTCTGTTGGGGACACGACATGTACGAAGGTATTCAACGACTTACGTTTGCACTAACAAACTACCACATATCCCTGCTGCCTTTGCGCGCGAGCGACGGTACTTGTTACCGGTCTGTACTTGCCCGCTACGACGAAATGGCTCAGGAAAAGATAGATGAAAAGCGACGACGCCAACAGCAAAGCCGACGCCGTCGCCTCGAGAGAATTGCTCTGGGTCGTGGACTTGCCGGTGGCACACGTCCATTTTTATCACCTGCATCATCGCAATTGTTTTTGCAGTAGCCTTCGAGGAGAACGGGTGCTTCATCAACAAATGCCTGCATGAATAAAAATACAGCTATTTGGTGGGTTTTTACTTACTTGTAGTTGACATAGAGATTATAAACACATTACAAAGTGTTCCGAACGCTCAAATACCTCGCTAATAGGTTTAAAAAGTCGCTTTAAAATAGTAAATGATCAAAAACACTTTTTCTACTGTTTATAATCTGTTTATAACCGTTCAACGTGTTCACTACCATTTTTTAACCCCTTTATAACTTTTCGAAACCCTTTTGCATGCTAAATAGCGAAATAACCGCCCTTTCATCGCGAACTGATAGGTGTCTGGGTAATTTGTCAAGAGCCGTTGATAATTGGAAGTTTGAGATGAACTTATCTGTCCTAACTGAAACTCGTTTGTTGCAACGGCTTTTGTCATTCACCCCACTTTATATAATTCCCCCAATTTTCCCCCCAAAGTCCCGTCAAAACCAACCGCTATTCCTAAAATTTGCTCGTCCTGACGAAAAAATGTAGAAACTGGTTTTGGCTCTTATTGGATTCGTTGGGTTTTGCTCTATCCGTGCATGTTCTTGCTCCGTGAGCATTTTTGTTTTGCTCGTCGTTTTTTCATTTATTCTGATTGTTGGATCCATGTCGAAAACTAATTTTAGTACATACTAGTAGTATTCTCAACACCAGTAGACCTCCGATGCGCTTACAACATCTTGATCAAATAGTGCAATATATTGGAATTATGGCGAGATATTTCGAAAGTTATGCCACAACTGATGATATATATATGGGATATTGGTATTTACCGACTATTTTAGTGAAAGGCTGATAGCTACAACAGTGATCGAGCAACTTCGTAAATTACTCATATACTTCCAAAATCGTAACTATCTGATCAAACATGTAGATATAGAGGTATATCTCCGTGATCCTTTGGCACAAATTTCGTTGGCTGGAACTTTACGCGCCAATGACCACGAGCACTCAACCTCAACCATTTAAACTAGACTGCCTTCTGTCCACTCTTCACTTCATCACTCTTCAATCTCTTTGGTACAATGCGCATCAACATTTCCGCCATGCTGGAGCGGCTCCAGGACCAGACTACCTCGGACAATCAGTACCTACAGCAAAGTCTCATCGAATATAGCGACGATG